TAATAAAACTATGCACACAAGACTGAAGGTCCTAAAAGATGCCTGCACTACACAATTATCCTTGGGAAAACGTCAATGGGAACTGCACTCAAGGCAGAGGGTGAGGTCATCCAAGACCGCTTATAGAGTAATCCAAGAAGAAAATCAGACACAACGCCTGGGGGATTTCCAAAATGTATAGGGCTAGACATATAATTGGAACATCCCAAAGCAAGTGAGTTGATGTTCCAAAGGAGGAGAGGAAAGCTATCAAAATATCCTATCAAGGGAGAGCCTTTTTGATGGAAAATGTGCTCAAAGTCATCAAGGGTCACAGAGAGATGAGGAAATACATTAGAACAGAAGTGTTGTCAAGGAACAGAGGCCTATGCCATGTAATCAGAGTCACTTGGGTGGGTCCAGTAGAAGGTTAAAGAATTCAGGAGAATTGTGTGGAAATGACACAGTACTGGGAAGTTGTGTTCTGTGGTGGTAGGTCTGGTCCAAGTCAGAGCTCGGTGCAGGGCACCTAGCAACACTGTCTCTCAAAGAAGGAGGCATCCTGTAAGCACCTGACAACCACAGCTTTCTCTAAAAGAGAGGAAGGCTGTGGGTGGATCTATATGAACTGGTTATTTGTTTTTGTTTGTCATTTGTTTCTTTTGTTGTCAGAAAATTGGGGATTTCTTTGTTTCCTGTTCAGTGTAGCTCCTGGGCCACCTTGGGTGGCCACCTGGGCCACAGCAGGGCTTTCCATTCTGGCCAGTTCATTTTCTAATCAATTGCTTTCCTTGACTGCCAGCTGGTTTACCTTGCACTAGAGCTCTAATATTCATCACATGCTCAATCAGTCCTTCACGGTTGTCTCATTTTACAGCCTGAGACGCTCAGGCATTGAGCCGAGGTTAATTGCTGTGCTCAAGTTTACACTGTAAGTCGGGGGTGACAGTACAATTAGAATTTGTGACCAACGCTTTTCCATGTAATCAACTTGTTCACGACCTTGTCTTCCTCCTGCCACCTGCATCCTGATGTGACAGAACAATGAGGAATCTGAATTGAAACTGCACGATGCCTAGTGAAAATTCAAGAACTGCAATAACAAAGGTAGTGCTGATACACTGAGTGTAAAATAATAATAATAATCTATCCTGGAATATTAGAAAAATCCAAAGTCATCAGTGCAGAGGGTCAACACAGCTAACCTTTAAAAACTACAATAAGATGGCCAGAGAATAAATCTAGTAAGACACAATTTACTGAGAATGCCGAGAGATAACACAGCTCAAGAGGAACGGAAGGGACATAAACAGAGCCAGAGAGGGAAGGAAGTGAGGGAAGAGGCAGATGGATGGGGAAGCGAAGGCCAGTTCAGCAGTGACAAACAGAAAACAGAATTAAAAATTTAAGAGGTTTTAAATTGAATGTGTTCCAGCAAACATCCAAACATGTATTTTACAAATTGATTGTGACAGCCATTGTTGACAGATTTTTCTCTTAACTCTCCAATCAGCCATATCTTCTCCCCCCCCCCCCCCCCCCCTCAATCTTGTTTTTAATTGCCTTCACAAAAG